AATGGTTCAAATTTGTGCCTGACGTTCAAAGAATCATCAACAGCACCGTCAGTAGATCAACGAAATTCACTCTTTTCGAGCGAAAATTCGATCGACAGGCGTGAAAATGAGAAATAAGGCAGACCAAAGAATTAGAGAAATTCTCGATGAAGAATTCCTGAACTCCACCATCCAGGAGAAAGAGTCTATTCGTGAAGAGGCTAAAGCGAATATCTTAAAACTGCAGGAGGAGAACCGACGACAATACAATCGACGTCGTAGAACCGCTCCACTCTACATTAGTCAACGATCTAGTAGCCATTAAAAGAACCCAGTTAGGAGCGGTCTCAAGCTAAGACCTAAATTCTTAGGACCTTATAAAGTGATTAAGATTAAGCCACATGATCGATACGATGTAGCCAAAGTAGGATCTCATAAAGGACCTGAAGCAACTTCCACTTCGGCTGACCACATGAAGCTTTCGTCTGATGACATCGGAACTTGAGATCATTTTGTAAACTATTTTTCAAATGTTTCTTTTTCTTTCTTTCTTTCTTTTTTCTTTTTTTTTTTTTTGTATTTTGTGTTTTACAGATGTATTCCAGTGTTCGGAGGTCCTCACCTGTCGATGTCCGAGCATGTGGGAATCATGCCTCAACGAAGCACCAGATGTCGCTATCTATCTCTTCTCTGTAGGGAACTCTCCAGGTAAACACATCTTCACTTGGTTCGAGAAGTCCGACAGAAGCGGTCTAACAGAACGCTCGCGAAGGAGCTACAACTAGACGCTTACTGGTTGCGCGTAGGCGATCGGACTTGGAACTTATCTTAAGTGACCGCACGTATGTGGTCAGCTGTGACTTTTACATCTCCATACTGGAACCAGTGTTGTGATTATTTTCCTAAACATATTTAATCCATTTGTACATACTCATTCCGTTTATCTTTTCTTCTATGAACCAGGAATAAAAACCTAATACTTTGAATCGTGAGTGTGATCTCTGTTTGATGATAAGACGTCACCCTCACAGTTTGCTATGTGTAAGATATTTTTTAATTTTGCATTCTCACTTAGAAGTGCCGCAGGCTTTGCTCTGATAATGAATTTACTGTCCGTCTGGATGATAAAAATGTGTTTTTATTTTAAATTCTCTAAATGTCAACTTAATAAAAGAATGTTCCGTTTGATTAACAAAATTAGGTGGCCATAACCTCATTGACTAGTTTTAACCACCCATGTGTATGAAGTTCGTAACTTTGCCGGAGGATTGTTGCCGTGAATGTCGAGGTTATTAAGATTATTGTTTGCAACAGGAATAGTACTTACATAATTTGTATTAAACGTTGTGGTTTTTCTGATTTGCAGGTTTTTTTGTGTTTTGTGTGTGTGTGTGTGTGTGTGTAATTGTGTTTCTTGAAACGTAAGTTAAAGTGATGTAATCGATTTTTCTCATGCATGTAAGCTTTTAGGTTAATCAGATTTTAAAGATAAGAGATATATTATTATTCTACGTTATCGAATGGAACTACAAAGGACGTGTAGCATTCTAAATATTTCCGTACTGAAGAAGGTTTGGAATAAAGACACTACGGAAAGGTTTCGAACAGGAAAGTAGTTTTAACGCACCACAGAGAAATGCATCGAACTGGAGAAGTTAGGGTAGTCCGAGAAAGTAAGTTTTAATTGAAAATATGAATTAATACAGTTGGCCATGAGAAACATGGAATTTTATAGAAATTCTAGTAGATGAAGATGGTTAGAGATTGGTGATAATATGAAAGGTAAACAGTGAAGCCCTTTTACTAGATTTTAAGAAAATGTATCCAAATATTAGCTTTTACAGGTATTCCGAAGAACAACAAAGTCATTCTGAAGAACAGCGATGTCTGAGAGCTCTTAGCTCGGAGTCGTCTGTGCTGTCTTTGTTTTATCTCTTCAGTCGATCCGTTTTATTCATAAAATAAACATAAAAAGTAACCAACCTATTACATTTATGACAGTTCAGCAGTCTATCTGGGGAATATCTGACCATCTGCGTAATTTTGCTGTTTAATTAATCAATTTTAAAATTTCGAAAGACTCAGTACTTTCATAAATGAGACTAGTAAGTTCCAGCTGAAGTCGAAAATACAGAATCAAGGTCTGATTCTAATCCACGCTCAGAAGTTTAAGATATTTTCTCTCAGTGGATCCAATGGGAGGTTTTTTTTCTTTTTCTGATTTGAAAGCATAATGATGTTATGCTATCCGAATAATTATGGTATTTATGATATCCCAATAATTATGTTTATGCATAATTATGGTGTTTTTATGCTGTCAAATATCACTTATATTATCAGGTATCATTATTATTTGATCTATGTTTTAGTACATTAGCATAAAAATAAACTGTAATTTTGAATGAGTGATTGACAATAATTCTCGCCTTTCATTTCCAAGCAGGTTTACAGTGATCCGTACAATAAGCACAGTAAATTTAATTTTCCTATCATTCATAAATTGGAATAATTTAGGGAAAAATGGTATTAATCATTATACCATAATATATCATTATTGACATGTCATTATTAATTCATAACTTTCTTTAGTGCAAAAGTTTGAAGCGAAGAAGAAAGCTCTCTCCGCCGTTTTGAAATGTTTTCACAAAACATTTTATAATTTGTCCAGATTTTGAGATCGTTTAAGTGCTTAGCAAATGACATAAATTCTTGTTATATAAAAATATTTATATAAAAATATTTCTGGAGGAAGAGCATGAAAATGATTCACATTTTCTGTAACTATATATTTAATTATTCTTTGTCAAATAATGTCCGTTTTTATAAGAGTTCATTTGATTCTCATTAAATTGAACTTCTTTTTGCGTGGAGTTTGAAAGAAAGTAAGCTGCTGCGAAATTAGCGAATTAATTAAAAAAAAAAGCAGATTTATAAGTCAACCCTTAAATGCAAGAATTTTTATTTTTTTTAATTCAAGTCAAAAATACATTAGGATTGATGTAACATAAAGTAAGAAAAATACTAAAAAAATCTAAACTAAGTTTTTATTCCAATTTTTGAAAAAATATTATTGTTGCCAAATGGCTGCATTATGAAAAAAGTATGATAGGAAAATGTGTAATAACAATTTTATATAATAATATATGCCTTGTTAGGTAGAAGTTTACAATTGGGTGCCCCTTGTGTTTTTAGCAATTCTTTTTTGACGCCAAGAAGGCACAATTTCAAGATGGCTTCTACACAAAACAATAAGAATTGCACAAACTCGGTGTCCATGTACACATTGATCGATCTTCACTTAACAAAATAAGAGAATTGCACAAACTAGGCATTGCGCACTGCCTTTGTCCATGTACCCATCGATCTATTTTCACTTAAAAAAAATCAGGAAGCTGAAACCAAGTTACAACTGTCATGGTAACCAGAAACGGGGTTTAATTGCCAAAATTAAACAAAATTGGTCACCAATCAAAAAGGCACCCAGTTCTACACTAGAGACCCTTATAAACTTATTCAAAAAAAAAAAATTAAACTTTGAATACATCAAAATAACAACGAACACAAAATAAAAAATTCGTAAACACAAATGATGTCCACTCTCAACACATCAACTCAAAATAATCACCGTTGCACCACACTGAAACTTTCAAAACTATATACGTAAACAGTAAGTATCCAATCGCTTACACCAGTGCTCCGCAACCGGTGTGCCGCGGCACACTGGTGTGCCATGAGTAGGATATAGGTGTGCCGCAATCAAATACATGTATTTGACATTTTGAAAATTTTTTATCATGGATTTAATACACAATGACAATTTTTTCCCTTAATAATGTCTATTTTAAATGTTTTTATATATTTCACTGTTGTGTGGCTGTGTGTGTGATTGTAAGTGTGTCAGCATTTGAATTTTTTCGGCACTTCCTTGATAACTCGGAACTCTTTGGTGTGCCACGAAATTCCAGAAAGATTTTTTTGTGCGTCGCAGGTGAGAAAAGGTTGCGGAGCACTGGCTTACACTATGCAGTAAGCTAAAATTTGTATTTTGATTTGATTTTCATGACTAAATATGAGTATGTTGCCAAATGACAACTACATCCATTTAAGGGTTAAAAGTTAGTTTTATTTCTCACTAGATCCAAACTATTACATTGTTTTATTTTAACTAAGAACTACAGTTTTTAATATAGAATTAAGTTTTAAGAAAGTACGAATTATATTAAAACTATTCAGAGAATCCTAATTTCAGTTAAACTGGGTATTCGTACTTAAACAATAGAAAATACAGCACTCGGATTCAGTCAAATTTTCAAATTTGTTACATAAACTGAAGCTACAGAGTTATATAGAACTCAGGCTATATTTTAATCAGATTTGGTGAAAAAATTAAGAAAAACATAAATTCTGGGCTGAGTCAAATTTGACAATATTGAAACGGTGGAGGAAATATGAATCGGAATTGATAAATCTTAAATTAAGTATTGTTTCCGAATAAATCATAACACTTATTGATTAAACAGAGATCATGAACATTAGTTACTTTGCTAAAGCTTACTTTTAACGTATTCAATGCAATGTGTTGTATTGATTATTATATTTGTTAACATAATGAAACATGAGTAATCTGTTAGCTAAAGGGTATGAAAAATTAATATTAGCAATAATGTTTTTCTCATGTAAATTGTAGAGACATTAGGTATTTTTTTGGAAGCAAGAGAGATGAAAAATTAGCAACCGCCTTCACCGGGAATCGAACCACGGACATTTGGAATACGCGTCCAGCGTGCAGACCACCACACCACGAAGGCATTCTAGGAAGGCGAGAGAAATACCTTATAAAATTACTCGGATGACTGAAGTCTGTGATAACTTGTAGAAAGCATTCTTCTGCTCAATTATATCTGACATACAGAGCATGCTATCGTCCATTGGCCTGCGATACATTTCCTAAAGAGATTATTGGGTGTGTCTCGATAATATTTATCGTTTATAAATATTTGTTCAGTAGTAAATAGTGCTTCCGCATGTTTTAAAACGTAAGTTGAAAAAATTTGCTTTTACGCTAATCCAAAGATGAATCTTATCAAGGTAGAAAATTCTTATCATGTTTTAAAATAATAAAGCGTCTGCTTTCATAAGCAGCTGATCATATAATCAGTTATGTTCCAGCTCTTTATTGTATTCGAAGTTTTGTAAAGTAACATGGGAGCTCTAATAACTACGCCAATAACTATTTTAGTGAGCCTTGTTTCAACAAGACCGTCAGGTAAACATTTCTTGCTGATGTAATACGTTAAATTATCATTTAATTTAATGTTTTCTCAAAATGAATGTTCACTGAAATCAATCGAGTAATCTTGTTTTTAATAATAAATACAATTGCTATTTCAGTTCAAGTATATTTAATATTTCTCTCTCTCTGCATATATAAGTCTATATATATATATAAGTCTACATCTCTCTCTCTCTCATATATATATAGAGAGAGATGGACTAAGTCTTATTAAACTAATTTAAAGTTTAAATAGATGATTGATATATATATATATATATATTTAAAAACTGAATGAAGATGAATATGTTCGTATCAGTTGTAGTTACTTGTTTTCCTTTATATATTTATTTAACGTTGTAAAATGTGTATGAAAATAAAACATAATAAATTGTTAAAAACCATTCGCAAAATGTTATGTGTTGTGTTTGAAATATTAGAATAAATATTTGCAGTTAATGAAAGATTTGCATTCCACGTATATATGTTACAGTAATAAATGGAAGATGCAAAAATGTTATTTACTGTCTTGTGAAACGGAGAACTGGACAATTTTATTTCCTAGCGATCTTTGGGTTTTTCATTGTATTGCTTTGGAAACAGCAATTTTTAGGCAGATTCAAGCTGCGAAATTTTATAAATTGATACAAATTACTTAGTTCCTTTCCCTAATTACATTAATATTTTATCACTTTTACATTAACATTTAATATATTGAATTTCAACTTTGAGTCCCCGCTTTTTCAACCTGAGACTAAAGTTCACTCAATTGTTTACACATTTCGGCATTGCATTTTGTTTAGTTTTATAATTGCATATGCTATATTAATCAATCATAATCATTAAATGCATTTTACCTGTTAATTGTTAACTTAATTATGGTAAGACCTGTGCAAAAAAAAACGGATGCTTTCGTTAAGAACTTTATATAAGAAATTTTCTCTTATTTATAGTATATTACATATGTTGAAAACTTGCAAAATGTAATGAATCTAGTCTCTTTAGCTACCTCAGATTCGAGTTTGAGGCAAATTGTGAATTCGTCTTCGTACTTATAGATTCTTAAATTATATATATATATATATATATATATATATATATTTCTTTTTTTTTTTTTTTTTTTTTTTTTTTTGTCATTATATACCTTAAACTCTTGGTAAAAACTAGTGAATGCAATTAACTTTAATTTCTTAACTTATAATGAAAACTTCTCTTAATAATGAACAAGTATTCAGGCTAAATCCTTTTCTGTTGATATTATTCTGTTCCTTTTTACTGGTTTGGACTGTTATTACCGAATCGAAATGATCTGCAATTTATATGAACATGATGCTCTTTCCAGACTATGAACTTTATTGTGATTTTTAGTGTACTGCATCTTATTCATTATTCTTATTCATTATAAAGTATTTTCTCCCTCCTTCCAGCATGTCTTTGTGGCGTAACGGTTAACACACTCGGCGCATATTCGAGAGGTCCAGTTTCGTGTCCCGGCGAAAATGCTGCACATTTTGCACATCTCCTACTTCAAAAATAACTTAATGTCTTTACAAAGTGATACAGAAAACACCTCTGAAAAATAAAGTGCACTGTCTGTTACTCACTATCTAGCTTAACCCCTTGCACTCCAGACGTGACTCTCGGTCACTACTTGAGTTGACGCGGTAACTTGACAGATGACTCTCGGTCACCACTCGATTTGATGCTGTAACTGAGAAGGATTCTCGATCACCATTCGGTTTCACGCGTTAATTGAGCAGTAAAGATATTTATTTAGGTTTGGTTTGGTCAGTATAGCTTAAGTGTATTCAACAATACATGCGTATAAAACAACTGTCAATCTTTAATATTAATTACGTTTTTAGATTTATTGTTATATATGCGATTTTAACCTTCAAATTCGACATTCGTAGCAACAGAAATATTATTTTCTTAGTTATGGAACCAAATAAGTATGGAATATGATGAAGGAATCCGTTTTGGTTGAGTTCGATGTTTCATTGATGAAGAACGAAATTACGTCTATGCGTAAACTATTTGACAATGGAGAGAAGGAAAGCAGTGATGAAGATAGCGATGAAATAAGAGGTGTAAGAATGCAAGGTGATATATAGTGGATGCGAAAGAGACAGGCATTACGCAGAAAATTCAGAAAATTATGTGCACTTCTAATTCTGTGCACTTATATAAAGTGCACAGAATTAGAAGAAACACCATGAAGAATATCATTTATTTCCGGCGAAAGAGCCCCAGGATCGCAAGTATATTCAGATATAAAAGACCCATTATCTCCCTGAGATTATAAGGTATTTCTCCCGCCTTCTTGGCATGCCTTCGTGGTGTGGTGGTCTGCACGCTCAGCGCGTAATTGAGAGTTCCATGGTTCGATTCACGGTGAAGGTGTTGCATAATTTTCATCTTACCTGCTTCCAAAAAATACCTAATGTCTCTGCAAGATCAATATAAGTTAGCTATAAGAAATTCACCAAATATATAGAAAATCGTCTTGAGTTGCTTATTCGACTCAGCGAAAACAGCCACGAGATCAAAAGGTTAATGATGTGAAGTGCCATTCTCCTCAAGAGACGTAGACAAAAGATAAAATTTCTAATGACAGAGAAATTAACAAACATGCCACACACTTCTAATTCTTTTTTTAACGATTAAATGTATCCATTCGCTAATATTATTTTCTACTTTGAGAAACATATTTACATTTTTGTTTTCTAGAGTGTAGCTTATAGTGATTTTATTTACAAGTCGATATTAGTTATAAATTTAATTATCTAAGAGCACTTGACATTGAAGAAAGTTTTCTTCAAGTTATCCAAGTAACAAAAGCTATAATACTTTTTATTTCTTTACTATTTTGGTTGTCGCTAAAACTATGCTTTAAAAGATTTTGCTGGTTTTAATAGAAGTTGTTAACCAATGAACTGTTTACCATGACTTAGCTGTTATCCTTTACTTATATTTGCTATAAAACTGTGAGAAGAATTCTCCTTATATTTAAGCTATTATTTATTCAAACAATGAAATTCGAAATCTTATTCATAAAAATAATTTGCAGATTTTCATTCATAGGATATTTGTAGCATTGCATTTAAGAGTAATTTTTATATATCAATAAAGTATGGAGAAAATAAATTATCAGCCTGGAAAACTGAAACTTTCAGCTAAAAAGGAGAATCTAATTCCATTATTTATTTATTTATTTATTGTTTGACCGTAAGATCCCATTATTTATTGGAGTTTGATCTATCTTTTTTGTTGAGAAATGCTTCACGAGACCTTCTAGTTGTGAATCACATTAACTTGCCGTCATTGACCACATGCAGTCACCTCTTGATTAACTAGGAGTATATTAAGCGGCATGTGAACTATCCTTCCCTAAAAAATAAAAAGGCTAAGTTTGTGTATAGCGGAACGATGAAAAATTCACTATCAAAATAATCAGCATAAAATAAAACTGCAAATGATGTTACAATCATTTAATAACATAGTTTCTTCATATTTAATTAAATTTATTCTTCCATTATTTATAATATGTTCCTTTTCGTTTCGAATAATGATTTAATTTACGTAAAAAACTGAACTTATTCTCCACAATAAATTGCTTAATATATAAGAGAATTATTAGAAATGTTTCTGTACTAGTTATAACATGGTTTCTCCTCTTCCTGAGGTATTTAGTTTAACGATTTAATTGTGATTGAGTTAACCGTCTTCTGCATTGCCGTGCATCAAAATTCTGCAATTTGATTATGACTTTTAACCTGGTTTTTAAAGTCTGTGCGTTTTAAAATATTTTAATATCTTTCATTTTTTTTCTTTTAGTTTTTCTGTGACTGACGGCAGTTTTATCCCTCATGTTACAATGCAATATTGAAAATTTTGTGCAATACATTTTATCTTTTACGTCAGTGAAAACAGTCGGGCCTTTCTCATCATAAGATAATATGCAGTAAGCAGATCTGTTCAGAAAGATATATGCACCAATAATGCCTTCTGACGTACCCCTCCGAAAAGGGGAGACGTACTTACCTGTTTTCCTGTCGGCCCTGAGAACTAGCGGATATCCTTCCAAAACTGCGCCAACGATTCCGGTGGAAGTCTGAAGGAATATATTCTTCACTTAGATAATCATAGATACCTTTTCACTTAATTAGATAATAAACAAATACGAGTCACAAATATGGCGAGTCACAAATATGGATTCGAACCTCGGACCGAACTACCAGTGTTCAGCGACTTTACCGCTCGGCCGCTGGTGGGCCAAATAAGTTAAGTACCGAAAAAGGTTTTTTAAACTACATCATTCGATTTCGTTCTTTGCATACGTAAATACCTAATCTGAGAAATAAATATCTTTCCTTTAGAAAGAATGCTCAACAGCAGAAATAATCTGATGACGAAAGAGGATGTTCTTGCCGAACATATCACATATGTCTTTCTAGAGGACTTATTTTTCGAGTGTTGTTCCTATTGGACAAAGAACTCTGCAGTTATTGAAACATTTTAAAATATTTCTCACACAAAATTTAAAACAAATTAAGTGTTTTTATTCAAATTTTTTTAAAGAACGTGAGCTAACAGAAATATTTTAGAAGTCTAACTTTAAAAATAAAACGAAGTAAAATTTTACTACACCAGATTATTCGTCTATTCTGTCCCTTATGTTCATAAAAAAATGCAGAAAGAGAAAAAAATGGGTCAAGATAATTCATCTGAGAAGATAAAAAGTTTAAAGGATACTAATCAACAAAGATAAAAGTATTTTAAACAATAAAGGCTTGTGTGAGGAGAGGTTTTAAGCGATTAAATTATCTCAAATAAAAGTGCAAGTTTCATATCATATTATGAATTGATAAAAAAATACATTTCTTAGCAACATAATACAAGCATAAAGAATGAATAAAGTGGAATTTTCAGTTGTATTTATCTCTTCACAATGACGATGATTTTAATTTCAAGCAGAATCCAGTACAGATTAATAGTTCGAAGAGAACGAGTATATGAAGCAATTCTTCCATAGTGCAATTGCAAAAATCCTTTACAGAACAAAACTTACAGATTAAAAGATCGCAATTCACTTAACGCTAAATATTCTCACAAATGAATAACAACTAATAAAAATGATAACCCGTTGATACTGTTACGGATTTGGCATTTAAATAGCTAATGTTAGTAGAATTATAAAACGCACGCAACAATACGTAATGGATATGCTTATTTGTCCTTGTGGGTCGCAATGAGCTAACGAGCAAATAAGCCCGTGGGTTCTAAACGTTGAGTGAGTAGAAACGAAATTTCCTTAGAGGAAAATCGAAGTTGGTAAAAGGGAAGAGAAACCTTTGTCTCGTGGAAGTAAACCAGGTAAGTAAGAATTAATTCTCGAAGAGATGCACACCACGTTCTGCGAATCGAATACAAAACATTCAGAAAGAACAAATATAGAAAATACAAAATTTATGATACGGACAAGGTTTAAATACAAAACTATGCAATGAATAGTACAAAGTATTTAGAATAACCCAGATGCAAAAAACGGGAAGTAAAACTAAATATATATACTTAAGGTTTGTATGACCAGGTCACAAAATTGTGGTCTCTAAGAATACGAGTCGCACAGGGCCGCATCAGATTGTTTGCAGGAATAACCTGATATCGAAGAACAACAACTTGTCCGAGCTCTCTGAACTATATTTGTAGTGTAACACGGGCTTCGTAAAATTTCGAGAACAATCGGTAGCGGAGAAGCGTATTTGCTTACGTCGAACGTTTTATTTAAGCTATTTTTACAATTTAGACATTGCCACAGTCCGAACGAAGGATCAACAACTAAAGATGAGGACCAAATATTTACATGAAAAAGGAATTTGGCCACAAATACGGAAGTAAATGACTAACAATAAATAAATGCTTTATTTGCAATTCCACCATAGCAGTAACAAAAGTATATATATATATCTAGTGTATAAGGTGAATCTGAACACGGGGGCAAAACTTTACTCGGGGACAGACCGCAGCAATACAAGCAATATTCGTCATCTGAAGTCTAGGCGGAACGTAAACGGTGATGGTGGTATTGTAAATGGTATAAAAAGGCACCGAACGGCCTTTTTCTATCGTAGATTGCCGAGACGATGGCTAGTTATATGAACCACGAAATGTTCAGGGTGATTTATCCAGCAAGACAACCGGATCTCTCGTGTTTGGACTTTTTCCTATGGGGGCCACATGAAAAACCTAATTTACGATAATGCCCCGTTGAAACGAATCTAGTCATCAGGTTGGCCGTTGTTGCCGATGATACTCGGGAAATGCCTGGTGTCTTCGCAAATGTGCGTTATTCCCTATCGCGCGAGTGTGAATCCTGCATTACGCCACGTGGGAGGTCGTTTGAGCAATTTCTTTGAACACGTACATCAATTACATTCCTGTTAATAAAATGTTTTCGGAAGTATCTCCTCTCATTCTTGTGTTAATTCTTTAAATGTTTCAGTAAAAAACTACCTTTTAATTTCTCACAGTTTGCGTTCCGGCCATACATTCTATGACAAATATTGCTTATATAGCTGCATTCTATCACCCCGTAAAGTTTTGTCCCCTTGTTCAGCTTCACCCTGTATACTGTTACATATACAAAATTCGTAACATTAAGGTGACAGGGGCAAATTTATTTTAACAACATATATACACTGGTGTGCAAAAATTAAGGACGAAGTCGAAAAATTAGCATATCAGCTGAACGAAGAGGCAGAGCGGACAGAAAGACCAATCAGGAGATTAAGTAAGGTGATGTACGGTAGCACATGCGCAGATATGCAGGTAGACGTAATGGGGGAGTGTCTGAGTAGTATAAAGCATGTTGTCGGTGTAAGATCAGTATTTCTGGCAAAGAGATTGCACGCCGTATAGCAGTTAAAATCACACCGAGTTGCTGCCTCAGCGAGAAATGGCGAATAATCAATCTGTTAGACGACATCTGGATGCTTTTACCCGAGGTCGAATCATTGGAAGTTGGAAGAAGGCCGCAGTGTGACAAGTGTGGCTGCAGAGTTCGGAATAGCTCACAGCATCGTTTCACGACTTTGGAGACAATTTCAAACTACAGGAACAGCTATCCGGGGGTTTAGTAGTGGTCGTCCACGAGGAACCACACCCACAGATGACCGGTATATTGCCTGACAGGCCAGAAGAAACAGGCGGCAGACAGCGGGAGAAATCGCTAGACACACGACGCAGGCGACTGGACGACCGATATCGCGTTTTACCGTGGCCAGAAGACTGCACGGGTGGTGGTCTGTTTGCACGACGCCCTGTACGGTGTGTACCTCTAACGCCTGCCCATCGGAGAAGGCGTTCTCTGTGGTGCCGGGAACACCGGAATTGGAGAGACAATGAATGGGGACGAGTACTCTTTACAGATGAGAGCAGATTTGGTGTGAGTAGAGATTCTCATCGCATACTCATCTGGAGAGAGCGGGGAAGCCGCAATCATCCCTCGAACATCATTGAAAGGGACAGGTATGGAGGTGGCGGTGTTCTCGTTTGGAGAGGCATCATGCTTGGTAGTCGTACAGACCTTCACATCTTCGACGCAGGTTCAGTCAACGGGACCCGTTATTGTAACGAGATTCTTCTTCCATATGTGCGTCTTTTTAGAGGCGCTATGGGTCCGAAGTTCCTTTCCATGGACGACAATGCACCATGTCATCGCACAGTAGCTGCCGAACAGCTCTTACAGAGTGAGGATATTGAACGTATGGATTGGCCGGCACGATCTCCGGATCTCAATCCCATCGAGCATGTATGGGATTTTCTAGGCAGACGCTTGGCAGCTCGTACCTTACCACCAGTAACGATTCCGGAGCTTCGATTGGCGCTGCAAGACGAATGGGCAGCAATGCCTCAACAACTCATTGACACCCTCATTCTCAGCATGGGCAGACGCTGTGAAACCTGCCTAGCAGTCAGGGGAGATATCCCCTATTAAAGAACGGATGTTTCTTGCTGGACACCATCCCACAGGGGTTTCGGCCTTCAGTCGCATTGCGCTCCATGCTACTTTTTCAATAAAGCTTTTTTTTTATCCCTCTGATTTCTCTTTTAGTAAGTGTTGCTTACATTACTCATGTCCTTACGTATTGGGAATCTTACGGTATTAAATGTGTTGATTTGGAAAGCTTTTGTACAAAGTTATATTGAAAAAACCGTCTCGTCCTTAATTTTTGCACACCAGGGTAATGTATATACTCACCCCTCTTATTCAACTTAAAAATCCTTACCCGGCTGAATAATTCACAAGTGCACATCAGTATCACCACTGAGGGAGGGGGTTTCAAAAATGGACCAATGAACTTCTATTCCTCTTGTGACGCTGATTTATTAGTGCATAGAATACAGAGACTTAATGTTCTAGATATGAATGAAATGTGCTAAATACTCAGTGTGTATGTACTAAGTAACGTATTTCTTTCTTTTCTTTTTTTTTTCCTGCAGATATCGTCTTTTGGTGTAAATGGCTCGCTTCTTACACTTACGCTTCTGTTCAGAAACGTGTTACAAAAGGACGATTAGATGTTTACGACATGGAGCTCAACAACGAACCTTACAAAGTGGGATTCTTGGCTCCGCCAGAAGAAGTGAATCTGGAATCTCCCATGTCAGAATCTCACCTTTTAATGGTAAGCATAATTCCAAGCCAGTTTTATAGTATATATTTGTGAAATCATTTCTGTGAAGATATTGAAGAAATGACATCTTTTCCACGGATCAAGATACATTGCATAGGGTCCAGCAAAAAATATCTCCCGCTCAAAATAGAAAAAAAAAAAAAAAAAAAAAAAAAAAAAAGCGTAATACACACTAGTGGGTAAAACTTACAGAAAAAATTTGTTTTTCAACATAACAACCGAAGAATTGTTGAAATTGCTATCAGTGTAATGAAAGGTCACCTCAATACAAAGGTAAGACAGATCTTTACTCCTGCGTACCTGATCGGAAAATGCAAGGTTTATTGGAACTATTACTAATTAAATGCACTACCATACTGTACTTGTCCCTGAGTGAAAGATATGTTGGTTTAACCAACAAAAAATATCTTTATTAAAATCTCAAAAAAATTTGCAATTATCTTAATAATATGAAACAATTACAATACATAAAATTATTAAAATAATAACAGTCCATACTTAGTGTTACAATAATAGCCAAACAATAACAAATACAACTTGTATTTACAAAGTCATATAACAACAGTTCTTGCAATTAACATCATTTGTAATTAATACATTTCAGTTATAAAATAAACAATTTTTAGACTAATCATTAGATTATTTATACATATCACTTAATGCATCAATTCATATATTTTTACAAGAGAGGCTATTCAAAAATTACATCTTCAGTATCTGTTATTACTTTCATTATTTTAAAAAGTCCTAATTTAGATTTTTCTTTTTGATAAATCAACCAAGTCAGAAGTATTTTGCAAAACTGGCAAAAACTTAAGACATAAATTTTTAAACTTTACACAAAGTAAAGCATGTTCAACATCAGCATCAATAATATCACATTTACATTTTATTGCTTTAATTGAGAGCCTGTTATGGTGTGCAGGTACATGCGCATGATTGGTTAAAAATTGGTTTAAATAACCATTTCCAATACATCTTTTATTATCAATTTTTTGATATACTTATAAGTATATCTTCCTTCCTTTTGCATTATTGTCCCAAAGGTTTTATCATTCTTTCAATATTTTTTTTTTCAATAAGATTATAAAGGAATCATAGGGAGTAGGAAAAATCTCATCAATTTAAATCTTTTTTTTTTTTTTTGTAGCTAATTTAACATTCATATCCACTAATTTATTTCCATAATAACCAGAATGACACTTTATCCAACGAAACTTAATTTTCCTTTTTCTCAAAATTTCAAATAAGATATTATGTGTTTTATAAACCAAATCAGTACAACGCATTACAGACAAAATTGTCTGAAGGGCACTTTGACTATCTGAATAAATATCAATATCTTCTAATGCAGATTTTTTTTTGATGTTGTAGAAATCCATTCCAAAGATTTTAATATATCATATACTTCTGCATCATCAGAAATCAACAGAAATACCTATAAAATCATAAGTATTATACATACATACATCATCAGAAAAATCTATAGAAGAACATCCTACTTTACCATCAATTTTTGAACCGTTTGTAAATATTTCAAAACCGGTTCTTTCTGGGAGTTGTTTATCCCATTATAAATTATAATAAAGAGCAGAATGAATTATATCTTTTAAACAATACGTTTCAATATCTGAAATACTATTTACAGTCATATCGATACCATAGACCAATCCTTGGCCATTCTTTAAATCAAAAATTAATTTTTCTGTTTGTGCAATCAAATAAATAGGTTCACATCCACGAAAGTACGCAAAATTCGCAAAGTATGAAGTAGACTGACTATACATGAAACCAATCACTATCATTTAGCCTCCTACTATCCGTCAGACAGAAATATTTTTCTAAGCTTTTATTTAGCTTACTCATGATGTTTGCATTTATAATCAAAATTTTGTCATCGATTTTTAAATTACTTTTTGATAAGCTATCGATTTTAAATCTTGTACCCACACTGTCTGTGAGTGAAAACTTAAATGTGAAAATTCAATAGTTTTCAAATTTTATTTTATATTTTTTAAATTTCATGATGAGACGAGTTTTTGCATATTTTAACTGTCAAACTAAAATTCAGAATTCAGGACTCAGGATTTTGCTTTTACACCATCGGATAGAGCGAATAACAAATCATAATGACGCTTACACGAGATTTTAATGCAGTTTCGGATGTTTTAGCAAAACCGCTGGATGGTATTGACCATTTGACATAATAATAGATATGGAAGTAAAAGAGTGATTATTCATGGTTGAAAAATGTTTCTTCAATAAAATAATTTGTCACTGGGAGTAAAATAAAGTTTTATTTAAAACTTATAAAATGTTTCATGAAGGAGAAATAGAAAATAATTTACTATGCAGTTTAATGATAACAAAAAATAAATGTTTATTTCTATATAACTCACCTACTGTTTTATATCAAGAATAATAAAAGGAGGGAATCCTTGATACATTTAATGGCTTATACTTTTGGCAATGTAATTCGATTATTAGATTTATTATTGAGGTGTCCATGTTTTTATTACTTGTGATATAAAACTATAGATGAATTTTGCAAAGATAAATATTATATCTTTTGTTCCCACTGAATTACATAAAAAATTATTTTTCTACTTATATATTTCGTTAATAATTTTATGAGTTTCGAACACAAGCTTATTTTGTAAAACATTTTATTTATTTACTTACTTTACTGAGAATTCCCTCGAAGAAAAAACTTTCTATATGTACTATTTTAATTATTGAATGTATTACTTATTCTTGATTATATTTTCGATGCATTAGGGCTTTTCTGTATATTAGATGAACTTCTTAAGATACAAGCATCTTGTTCACTAAAACAGCTACAGTGTAAATAGGAAACTTATTAGGAAAATAAAGTGAAAAGTAATAAGTTTTAAAATTTATGGGAAGGTATTTCGGATTATTTCGCTTCCATTTTAATAGATAATTATTTTCATAAATAAGAGACATCTTCAGTGCAAAGTACCAATTGAGACTCTTTAATGATACAGATTTATTGCAGGCATAAAACTGCTATTTTTGTTCTCAATGAATGCTGCTACTTTTTAAAACTGAAATTTTTGAACTGTTTACAGGGCGCAGATGAAGTATTTTTCTATGGTGTGAATTCACATACTCAACGCTTGGTCGTTCGCATTGCCAGAGGTAGTAACCACGAATCCGAAGCTTGGATTTACTTAAAGCTAGCCGATGATAAAATTTTTGAACTGAAAGAAACATCGAGTTATCAACAATCGTGCTGTGACAAAAGAGCTTTTACTTGTGGAGGACTTCAAGTGTATCATGTATCACCGATGAGAAGATGGAGAATATTTTTTAATGGTTTACTTAGGTATTATTACATTTAATCTTTTCTGTTTCTTTCACATTATATATTATTTACTTACGGCATTATTTAAAAATATTGATGTAATCTGAATGAGTATTTTGAGATAATTCATACTAGTGGTACATTGGCAACGGAGGCAAGCAAAGTAGGAAAAAATAGTCAAAAATTTCTTCTGATTGGATAAGAAGGGTCGTGTTGCAGGATTACATAAGCCAGCATGGAACGGATTAATTTGGAAAGACGCAGTCCAGAAAAAAATTATTATTAACAGTTTAAAATAGAACACTTCACAATTTTGAAAGTTTAGCGGATCTTCAACAATGAATGATACAGAGAAACGAAAGCCGTGTGTTAGCAAGAGTAACGGCAACGGAAAATGGGTTGCGCATTCAAAAGAAGCGGTAAAAGTTTCAGTTCTTGGTTGAAATCTTTTATGTGTTCACACACACACACACACATATATATATATATATAATAGCTATTTAGTCAGCTAGCCTCACAAGGGGCTAGTTTATTGGTTCTCCACCTGTTTTTCTTAACTCACCTCTTTCATCATTGCTTATAAGACTATTTCTCTATCCTTTCCAAAAGCCTAAATATGCAAATATGCATATACTTTTATTTCGATTTAGAATAATTTTAACACATCTTTAAAAAAAAACGACTTTAAACGACAAAATGGTATAGAAAATGTTAATAAATACCAGAAGTTTAAAAAAGTAGCTTTCTTAACAATTAACTAAAATACTTAACAGCTAAATAAAAGGCTGATCGCATTATCCCCTTAAGAGATCATAATCTCTCCTCTGATTAAGAAACCGTGGTCTAGCTGATTAAATTTAAAATATACTTTTCTCACGCTCCTCCGAGTGGCAACACATTGCTTTTAAATTACTGAGTTTGGTAATCAAAACTTCATCAAGTTCGTTAAAAATAGATAAACTAATTTTAAAAAATCGAAAAGCGAAGTTAGAGCTTCGAAGTGTACACGTTCGGGTAGAGGACTATGTATGTTCGAAATAAGGTGATTCTAGGTGCCGCCGTTGTTTTTCTACCAGAGTGGAGAAACATGAATACATACATACAAAACGGATACTTCATCATTTAAATAATAGTGACATTTGTAAATTTAATAAAGTGACATTTTGTAACTCAAATAAAGTATTTTAAATTTAGTATGGAACTGGATCATTGCTTGAAGTATTTTACAATGTAAAAGTAAAATTTTCATTAATTTTATATTTAAAATTATAAATTTTCTATGCATTTTTAGACGTTTAGGAATACTAATTTAATTGAAATTATTATAGTTAATTAAAATATATATTGATAGAAATTGAAATTATTATAGTTAGAATTTTACAAATTTATAGTACTCAAGTTTTTGATATGCTTAAAATTAAAAAGTGAAAGTAATTCCCCAATTCATTTTAGACAGACATCTGAGAATGATTCATCAGTGGATAAAATGGTGCATGTTAAATTCGCATTACGGTAAGTATTAATATTTACTTCGTAGCTGTTAACTAAATTCGTACGAATTCCTGTGATAAAAGATATCAGTAATTTGTTTATTTAAATAAAGAGTTTCTTAAACAAATTTTTGTAATATTTGAAATATTTCTTAATCAAAGCCTCAAAAGAAATATTTCTCTGCGAGAATATTATTTGAGTTACCAGAAAAATCTTAACTCTTGTAACGAGAATATAAAATTATCTTTCAATAAATTATAACGAAAAATGGACGCAATGCTTATCACTTATAGATATTTTACTTGTCATCGCAAATATACTTTTAAGAAGAGTACAGATAAATCGATTTCGTGCAAAAGAATAATCGAATTAATTTTCCGTTTTCTTTTTTCTTTTTTTGTATGAATATTTCTAAACTACTGAAGTGATAACCTTGAGGATGCTAAATTTATTTTTAAGACTATTGTTATTCTCTATAAAGTCATTTTTCTATAATCCTTTTCCTTTATTCCCAAACTAGAAATATGCAACAAACATATTTAATTTCAAACAACTTCGAATATGTTACATATGTACATTTTCCATGCATTTATTTTATCCTAAATAATATTTATTTACTTATAAGGGACTACCTGTTGTATTTAAATTCATCGATCACAAATTAGCTTTTATCGTAATAGGTGGAGAGCTTCTTCTGACATTTTCGATTTCACGACAGATGTAAACACAGCTGAATTGTCTAGAGGTCTCGCAAAAGCGAAATGGAAGCATATTTTGCCTCCAATTTCTGAGTAAGTTGATATTACGAATTATGCTATTTTCTAATTTCTATGATGTTGCAGAAATTTGTAAGGTTTCATATTTATGAATCCATAATCATAATATTTTTATCCTTACTGCCACTCTCGTTGGTTCGCACTAAGATGTAAATTAGTTAACATGTAAATAATAAAAGAATTTTTTAAAATTTAGGCTGTGAGCTTTTATCAGAGATTTTACCGTCGTTTTTATTTCTTCTCCAATTGTTAGGAGGCCCCACCAATGGCCGAGTATTTAAGACCGCTGAATGCTGATAATTCGACTGGGTTTAAATCCAGGTGAATAGGCTGGCTGCATGTTTGGTTTTTCGTGGTTTTCCCCTTATGTAACATGAATACGAACCAGTTTCCCTCAAATGTTTTCCACTAAGGCATAGCTCTTGCGTATTTTGCCGTATTCAAATAACTTAACCTAATATTAAAACTAGATATGCCGTCTTCAGCCTTTCGCTAGCCAGGTTGGTCGCATACTTAGAAATTTGAGGCAAAAAATCGGAAAAAGCTTGCCAAAAGCTAGAAGGAATTGCTTTCTAAATTCTCAAGATTATTTAATTAAGTTATAATGTAAAGGTTTATTTTAAAACTTCATCTAAGTTATAGTTATTTCACTACCTCGAAAAATCGCCTGGCTTTCTATATAGCAACATAATTTAGCTTGGTAATGTTTAGGTTTTCGTGCAACTCAGATAAATATTATGAATTACAATACAAATTTCAAAAAATTAATTAAATTTTAATCACCGTTCTTACGACGAGTTCTTGTTTTCTTTCTTAACAATAAGATTAAAATTCTAAATACACAACCAAGCCTTCCAGTATTTGCTTTCTGCGGGATTCGAACATGGTTCTAATAATACGGCAACCGACAGCATTAACAATTATACGGATCAGAGTGGCATAAGTCGAAGTATATTTTCTATGTTGTGAACCCAGGTATAAAATTAAAACGACTGAGTAATTTAAACTTGCGTTATTACTAAATTTTCTCTGAAAACAAAACTTTGAAACAGTTAGTAAAATGCCACCTTAAAATATATTTCAAGGTTGGAAAAGGTAATAACATCTATTGCGAACAGTAATTTTACAGCTGAATTTCAAATAAGTAATATAATATGCTTTAGGGATGCTGATTTTCTTACAAATTAAATACGCTTATTAGTTTCATTTCAAATACTTTTTCAATTTTACCAATTATCTTTATTAGTAAAATTCTTTATGCACATTCTACAGTAAAAAAACTGAAATAGAATTTAATTTACAGTGCTCTTAATTGATTCATCCAATGCTTAACATTTCAACAGTTAAATATTTATTGGATATCTTCTTCAAAGTCATTGAATTAAACAATTACAATAAATATATTGCACTAAATATTATATTAATTGCATGCATTTTTATTTACATTTCGTTTTACAGCTTCTAGTTTTAGATTCTCATCGGAAGTTCTAATTTGTATTTCAATTCTTAATTATCTGTTGTATAAATGTTTAAGTACTTCTGGATTTCAATATAATGCGAGTTGATTCTTCTTTATATAGACTTTATGATGCTTTGAATTTTTATGCACAAACTGGTACCATCATGGGAACAATAGAAGTTGATCCTCTCTGTGAAGGCGAAGGCATATATGACAGCAATTTGTATCTTTTTGGAGAAAGACTGCGATTTTTAAGTAAATTTTGAATATTTTTTAATTGATGCTGCTAATTTCTTTATTCATTGTATTCTCGAAAAGCAATGATTTTGATGCATCTTTAGCATGTATACAAATTACAAGCAAAAGTTAAGATGATATAGTTTTAATCCCATTATATGTACTGGGCTTTAAAGCTTTGAAGGAGAAACTGTTGATCACAACAGCTTCAAATTGTGTGTGAATATCACTGTGGCGCCGCCCAACCGATATAGTGGTTAGTGACTTTGCCTGCTATACTGAAGAGCCGGGCTCGAATCCCGGAGAAGGCACTGATGTTTGTAAAACCATTATCACATTAGGTTTCCGCTACGCGGTCCTGGACATCGAAAGGGACAATTTTCAGAACCTGCACATTTCCAGGAAACCCACGTAGCTAGGTTACCGTTTTCACTTACTGCAAAGACTTGAATGCCAAACAGTACTCGATTATCGTTCAGATTGGGATCACGTGATCCTTCAGAAGCAAAACATTCGTCTGATTGGTTGTTCTCTACGCGGGATGAAGCTCCAGCCAAAACATTTTCGTGAGGATTCAAAAAATCCCGCGTAGCCGGTACATCGTTTCTGTGGCGCTAGGCGGAACTTTTCTTCCAGCGGACCTGTTTTTTTCTAGAAATCCTCCCGCTTAAACCAGTGCTACCGGAATTTCGTTTCTAAAAAAGTCCCGTCTAGCAGGGACTGTCGCTAGATGTGATAACCTCTTAAATGTATAGTGCATGTGCGGCATGGAGCACTCCAAGTATCTGGCGAGCCAAAGGTCCTCGCGATAGGTTAGTGGTAAAGGAAAAAGGGTGTGAGACCTTCGTTCTCGTTCGCCTGCCGTCTCTCCTTCAAAATTGGGGACAGAACTGAGCCAAAGTGGATTTGTCACCTATATGGCACAAAGCTTAGCCAACGGCAGGCACATTTGACTCCTTCCCACAATAAATATTGTGTGCTGTTAACCATTGTCAGGTGAGTGAGATTGGTAACAACACAACATATCCTTGAGGAAATATTAAATTGTTACGACGAGAGAAAATACATTATGTAAAAAATATGCCACTAGTTGGTTATCTGTAGCTCCCTCCGTCATTTTCAAAATATGCAAAATTATATATGATTTAAATGCGTATGTTTTTAAAAAAAGGAGTTTATTTCTTTTAGGGCAGGTTAACATCGGTTTTTTGGATTGCAATAATTATATAAAATCGCTACATACTCGAGAAGCTGTTTGAATCAAAAATAACGTTGAATTCTTTATTACCTCTGCCCACAGCAGCTATGCCGAAGTTCCAAATATTGAAAGTCTTATCTGTTTCAGGATATACAAATGGTTTACTCAAAATAAATTTTAAGACCAAAAAATACTTATTCTTTGTATAGCAAACGTGGCAGTGGACTACAGTCAGTCTATAAGCAGTCAATATCGGAAGCTACAGCGGCTATACTGAAGAATTGTGCATTTTTTGTTTGCTTATCGAAATACGCTAAATCGCGCAGAGATTATATTTCTAAAGGGAAGACATATTTTCGTGGAAGGTTTTTCTAAAGAAATCTACATCATATTTATTAAAAACAGTTTGGCCACATTAATTGCTGAAACCGATAGTGCAAAGCGGGTTGTAAATATGATCTAAAAGGGGGGGACCTCTGTTTCTCTAAAATTGCACATGTTTAAAAAAAATTTTTTTCCTAACGAAAGTGCACGAGAGACGTTCCGTTACAGATCCTTGCTTGGATGAAAGTTGACAGCAGGCACCTTATACTCGACCGAAGTCTTTTCCGCCTCTTTAGTAATAATAATATATAAAATTACAGAATTTGTATGATCAAATATCGATTAATACTGCAATACATGACGCTTCATGCTACAGCAATTCCTGTATACTGCAGATCTGGACATTAGTTTTCTAGCAAATCTCTCCTGTGGTTCCTGGTTTTTCTTCCAACAACATCCATTTTCACATTTTTTTTTCTAAAATCACTTGCTTCCAATACTATCAACAGCATCAATGCTTGATTTCCTCAGTTTTCTTACAGAATGCACAAAGCTTCATACGCAGCAAAATTAAAGGATATTTGCTTGGTTTTTCTTTGGAAGGAAAGAATAACAGCCACCGAAGACTAGAAAAATAACAGGCCATGTGTTTACAAAATTTTAAACCATGTACCTAATGTAAGGTGATATTATTTAAAGTGGACCTGTTGTAATAATAAAAATTCAAGAGAATTTCATTAAGAAAGTTACGAGAATGGTGACCCGTAATAGTTCGCTTTTGCTATTACTATAAGGATTTGTTAATTTTCTTTTATTTGTGTCTTGCTGGAAGCTACTAAAATATATTTATTAGTGAAATACGGAGAGAAATAAAGGAAAACTATTTTCAATATTTTAAATCTTTTTTTAGTTCCTTGTACGAAGTAAAGGAAGTATTGTAGTGGCAAAGAATCTGAGGTATCATAGTTCAACTAAAGTATCCATTTTGACCGCTCTCGAAAGAATTTGAGCGACGTTTCTCTGACATCTGTACGTACGGACAGAATAAAAAAGGACTTTTTTTTAAAATCAAAAACGAATTGTAAAACTGATTTAAAATGGATTCAAAAAGATTTAGTTTTCGTGATATACATCTCGAATAAGTCAAAAACGAGTAGCTGTAGAACGTTGAAATTTTGTATATGAGTCTCTTATAACATGAAACTGTGCACCTTCCTTTTTCGTTGCAGCGGCCTTACCAAACGTATATATATATATATATATATAACCAAACGTATATATATATATATATGGTGTATATATATATATATATATATATATATATATATAATATATATATATACACACACACCATATCTGGTCTTTGTTACCCACCAGTGTGACCAAAACTTAACTTTCAGTTTTGCGCACCGAAAAGTTTTTCAACCTGCCCGCTGCCAGATTTGCTCGTTTTTGCGTAGAAACTCTAATTTTAAGTGTAAAAATTGCTTTTTAAACTATTTTGAACTGTATTTGGTATTTTAGGATTTACTGTATTTTCAGTTTTTAATGAAAATTGAGTTTTTATGTATTTTTGCTTTGCTGCAAAATGAGAACTGAATTGATTAAATTAGCAATATATCTCTAATGTAATTCGAGGAAATAAGTTTAAAATGAAGTGCAGCAAAAATGTGTATAACTTAATAGGCCGTACGAGAAAGTCATGTGGTTTTCACATCAGATTTTTGTTTTATGTTCAGGTGATACAACTTTAGTTACTGGAGCTGAGTTCTGTCACGTCTTGGGTCATGATTGGAAAGTAAGTAAGTTTTCTAAATACCTTTTACTAGATTTCTCCCTCTGTATTTCTCGACTTAACATATTCGTCCGTCATCTGGATAGACAACAAAGGAAAAATAACATATTGATTTACTTTTAGTGTAAAGCTAGATGAGATAAGACAGCTGCAACTTTCTTAAATGTAAGAAAAAGGACGCACCAAAAAGACAAAATGCTAAGCCAACAAGGATCGGCATAATGTGAATAAATTAGCGAGATTGTAGTACGAAATGTAAACAGAATCTTCTTCGTCAATTGCGGGAGTGAAAGTGACGGTAAAGGAACATATGAGTCCGTGACAGCAAACAGAAAGAAGATAAAGCCATTGGTGCCATCGGATTGATCTAATGTAAAAACAACTGAAGAAAACAATTCCTGAAAAGATATTTTAAAGAGAGTTTTTTTAGAATCGAGATTACTTACCAGAACCGAAAGATTTTTTACGAATGTGAAATGGCTCCAAGGAATCTAATATCTACATCAGGTACGAAATTTGAAGGCTGGCTTTGTTTAGAACCGTATCAACAGCCATGACATTAGATGTGTAGATCTTGCTCTAGTTCCAGCACCATCATCTACAACGTCAGACCCAGATTTCGTCATATATGTGCAGAATAATATACACGAATAATGTCTATAACAAGTATATATGAGATAATATGACAGTACTGAAGATATATAAAATATGTAAATATAGAAATCTTCAAAACTGATAATTTTTCTTAAATTTTTATCTCTGCATAGGATCAACGATTAAAAATACAGAAATTTATACATTCAATAAAATATAAAATATTTTCAGTACGATAAGTTGTCTTTTTGAAATCTTAAAACAACAAGGCCGCTTGATAACAACGTGAAAAGGTTGGCAAATGATTTCATGAATCTGCACTTATATTTCAGAAAAACAGTCATCGGTAGCGCGAGTAAAGAAATTCAGCTATATACTCTTTCTTCTTATTTTACAGGATGGAAAGTTTGTGCACCTTGGAAAAGTCTCCGTTGCAAATATTGTTAAAGAGTAAGTATATTTATCTTCATTATTTTTACCTAAAAACCAACTAAAATAATAAAACCATAAGTAACAAATCCAATGCGGCTTCAGTAACTGAAGAACTCAAAATTTTGGGCACAGCTTTTTGAGTAAAATAATAGCAATAAAACACAAAATTTTATCATCTGATTTGCTTTTACTAATTTTTCGTGTCCACTTACGGCCAGTTTATTGACTTGCTTAGTATTATAAACTTCTCAAATACTCTCGAAAATTAGTTAAGCTGCTTAAAAGAAACTGAAATTATGAATAAGTGGTTTCTTCACATAATATTCCATACAAATGTAACATGTTGAGGATTTCTACTCAAGGTAAGCACTCGAGAATTGTCTTATTAATATCTGTAATTATTTCATCCTCTTTTGATTACAATAAAAGGCTGTCATAGGACCTCATTAAGCGAGTCGCAGTGGACCGTAGTACCAGATCATCTGTGAACAAAAGCGACTCTTGTATTTTAGTTCTGTATTTATAATTCTGCTAACACATCGTTGATCATGATGCTCAGGAGGACTGGGTTTAACGGTGTCCGCCGAAAACATCACGGACGAAAACGTTGCGGAGAAAACAACGCAAGGCGAAAACGTCGTGGTATAAAACATCGTGGTACAAAATACCGTCGTCGAAAATAAAGCGATTCAAAAACTTTGCAGTTTAAAGACATCGTCGTCGAAAATATGGTGGTATAAAAATAAAGTACCTACAAATGATCGCATGACGATAGCATCACAGACATGCGTTTTTCAGGCTTTAATAATTGTAAATGGATATTCGCATAATGATTTATGAGCGCAAGATGGAAAGAATGATAATTTTTACATTCATATTTTCTATTAACTTATAAGGTATTTCTCCCGCCTTCATAGCGTGCCTTCGTGGTGTAGTGGTTCTGCACGCTGGGCCGGTATTCCAGAAGTCCGCGGTTCGTTTCCCAGCAAAGGCGCTGTTAATTTTTCATATTTTCTGCTTCCTAAAAACAACCTAATGTCTCTAAAAACTAATAAAATTTTGCTAAAAAAGTAAGAAGGAAAGGAAACTTAATAATATTCTTCATGAAAAATATAATTAAAAACATTTAAAATTTTCTTAGGAAGATGGTTCACTGTAAGTTCAATAAATAACTACAAAAATTTCAAATAAAAAGTATATGAAAAATTAAATAATACATTTAAAGAGATTATAAGAAATGTATAAATCTAAAGGAAAATGTAAGCAATCCTAGTTAAAGCGTCTACTCAAAATTCTATATCTTTTTTGTCTAGTTGTGGATGTGGTCAACTTACATAATGATTAAAATCTATGTTTAGTGTTCTCAAAAACACTGTTAGGGAAATAGTAACCAAGGGGGTTTACTGCAAGTGTGTATTATTTCTAAAAAAAAAAAAAAAAAATTTGCATGAGATTTTCGTGATTTTCCTAAAGTGTAATGCGCATATGAACCATTTCCTGAGAAGTACTCCACCGAGGAATTCCATAAGTAGATAGCTATATATGCGTTGACATAATCTGACAAATCGACATCCAAGTAACTGACTGCAAGCTGTGCATGAAAATTTTAATGCTAGTTTAAGAATAAACTGAAACAAAACAAGAAATAATTTTCAGTGTAAGAGTATCAGGTTAACAAAAGTGAAAGAAAATAATTTGGTAATTAATTAAGCAATGTTTTATAGACAAGGTCATGCAATTACTTTTATTAATTTTTCTAATCTTTTTTAGACGATATTTTTCATAAAAAATTACCAGTAAAACTTAAAAAAAAATTATTACTGACTTTTGTTAGTTAAATTCCATTATGTGCTATAAGTTGCATTAATTTTATGCTTAAGCTTCCTTCTTACTTTTTCAGCAAACATTTATTAATTAATAAAAAATATGAAAGTGAAAATTATCCTTCTTTCCATCTTGTATTCACAAATCATTATGCGAATATCCATTTACAGTTATTAAAGCCTGAAAAATGCATGTGTGTTATGTTATCGTCATGTTTTATTTTTTTACCATGATATTTTCGATGATGCTATTTTCAAACTGCAAAGTTTTTGAACCACGATGATTGAGAACATATATTTATATATTTGATATTTAGATATATGTTTAGATGATTTAGAATATATATTTAGAATTAGATATTTTGTATCACGTTTCAGGACCTGCTTTGTTTTCTCTTTGCTTTCTTTTCTCCCACGATGTTTTGTACCACGACGTTTTCGCTTTGCGTTGTTTTAGTCCACGAGGTTTTTTCCGCGATCTTTGTTTCAGAGGGGAATGGTGTATACATCTGGGCATCTGGGTCTAAGGCCCTACCCTTATTGAACAATATTAGAAATTACTAATTATGTGTGCATTATCACAAAAAAATTTAATTTAAAAATTGAGCTATATGAAGAGATTTAAGTGAGAAGTTACATAATAAATTTTGTCACAAATAACTTTAGGGTAAATCGTTATATTATAATACAAAGGTAATAAAGTTAAGCAAGATATTAACATTAAATTATTAGTAACAAGTGAATATGAGATAAGAATTTAAAAGGTGTAGTGAAACAGAGTCGACTAATGAAGGAAGCATCTGGTGAAAGCTTTTTGAGCCCATGGCAAACATCCTGAAAGCAAGATATACAACAATTGGAAGAATAAACAAGAAGTGGGTGCAACTCCTTCGGTGAAAAATTTAAAAGGGCAAGAGAATAAAAAGGCGGGTAAATAATGAATAAGTTTGAGCAATTTGAAATATTAAATTGAGACTGGTGCTGTCAAACAAAATACAAAGTACGATAACATGATACAAAATATGTGCATATATGAGAGGAGATATATACGAGTACATAATACAATAAGCATAGTTACCATATATAATGCAAGTGCTGAATAATAATGCAGGTAACAGTAAGAAAACATCAATCAATATTTACATTAAGTATGGCCATAGAGCGTTTGCAGTTAGCAGGATCATTAATGTCGTAATTACATATTCTAATGGCAGGGTTTTGAATATTTGGCTTTCGAAGAACTTCCTTGCTAATTTACAATATATAGTTTTTAACCTGGTCCATTTTGAGCTCAAAATGGATACGGTTATTACGAATGTACCAGGGTGAGTTTGAAATTTGACGTAATATACAGTTTTGGGCTGTTTGGAGTCTTTTTCTATCCGATTTGCAAGAATATCCCCGTACTGGGCAGACATAATAGAGCATGGGACGAAATACGAATTTGTAAATGAGTAACTTGTTGTCTATAGATAGAACGCTGTTTAGAGCAATTAAAGGGAGTAGCGTTGCTTTACGAGCTCGAAGCTTCTGTAAGAGAGATATTATGTGTGGGGTTCATGTAAGAGAATCTGAGGATCACCTCGAGATAAGGGACCTTCTTAGCACAGGGGATATATGCTCCATAGAAATGCAAGTTTTTATCAATTTTCTTTTTCTTGGTAAACAAGATGGCATGCGTCTTGTCTACATTAACAAGGATTTTCCATTTTTGCAGCCAAATCTCAAATACGTTTATGTGATCTTGTAACCATTGTTGTAGGAATGTTTTTTCATATAAATATTAAAAAGTGTGCATGGAAGGAGGTGCCAAGAGGGACCCCTGGGCTATGCCTGCTAATATGGAACGTTGTGTACAATACGAGCTGAAAACATGAACGACGAAGTATCTACCGGTCAAATAGGATTTAATTTTCTTTGTTATGTAATCTGGGAAACTCAGATTGTGTATTTTGTAGGGGAGTGCTTCCAGCCATACTCAATCGAAAGTCTTGAAAATGTCTAAGAAAATTTCACCTGTGATGTTCTTGATTTCTATTCCTTCAGTAATCGTTTCAACAACTCTATACAGTTGGTTTGTTGTGCCTAGATTCTTTCGGAATCCAAACTAGAAAGGGATGAGGATATTATTATCTTCCAGATGCTTGTTCACTTTTGAAGAATGACTACTTCGGTAATTTTCATTAGGCATGGCAGGAGGTAATTTTGCTTAGGCTGATGGAACTGTAAGAATCTGGTTTATTTGATGGTTTTCTAGGCATTAATATCGGGTTATTGTAGCAAGCTTCCAGTCTTGATGAAAATATTGTCATTTCATGATCAGGTTAATGATTTTGACGAAGATGAACACAGTCTTTTTTGGGAATTTTTGAATTATGTAGTTTTATAGTTTGAGATCTTGTCGTACCCTAAGTCTTTCTTCTTCTTGAGTTGTTGAATGTCTTCAAGGATTTCCGATGGCATGACTGAGGGTATGTTGTCAGTGCGTGGATTGGGAGAATAATTGTTCTGAAAGCTAGTGATCATATTTTCTGTAGTTGTGTCATGTATGTTGTGAAGTTGAAACTGGGATTCTGGATGCTGAGCAATAAGTTTTGCTTTCTTAGTTTCAGTGTAATGTATCCTATTGTAGCCTTTAAGGGGCGGAATGTTGTTGTAGCATTTCTTATAACTTTTGAGAGCTTTACACAGCGAATTATCATCGGTAGACTGTGATGTAAGGTATTTGGACCAGTCGAGTTGTGCTTGTACGTTAGTCTGAGATTTGACTAAGTTACACAATTGGTTAAATCTAGTTTTGTCTACAGGATTTCTGGTGCGTTGAAATTTTCTCCGATTGCATTTCATTGTTTAAGGAGTTCAGTTATTTCCTTGGTGCGACCTTTGTTTCTGGTTTTAATTTCTTTTTTTGCTCCGCTATATGCAACTTGAATTTGTTCCGTAAAACTCTTTACTAAACTGTCAATGTCATTCCCTGACTGTGTAGTTGGAAGTGTGTATTGAATGTTGCTTAGAGCTTTGACATATTTACGCCAGTCAGTAGTAAAGGCTCTTTTGTCTGTTCTGTGTAACGTGTATACGAGCCAGTTTCCCTTAGAAAGTCCTCCACGAAGGCATCCCTCCCTTTAGGCAGATAGCCTCGTGTGTTTTGCCATAACTGAATAATCCCTAATCCCCTCTAGATAAAAATTAGTCTATTAACGACAAGTTCTGGTAATTTATACAGACTTGACAATACAGAAGGAAATTTACTGTGCTTGAGGACTGGGTTAAATTAAGCTTTTTATCATTTACTGAGAAGCACGTTTGTACTAGTAAAAGTTAATGATTTTTAATAACACTTCCATTAACTTTTCACCAAGGATCTCTAGGGAAGAAGATGAAATTTTGTTACGACCAGTGCTCTTACTAGGGGAGAAAGGGGTAGAAGCTTTAATCCAAATTTACTCAGACCAGCGCTGTCCAACTTATCATAGCCCACGGGCCATATTTTCTTCTCCAAACATTTCGGGGGCCAAGAAGGTTGATAAATGAAAGGTCAGTTTGTGTTAATTAAAAAAATATTTTATTTATACTAAAAAGAAAACTTTAAAATATTCGTAATATATTAATGAGAACATTGTGGCCGTAATTGTTTAGCAACAATATCTTTTATGTCCACATCAACATTTGTTGCGGTAAGTCTAATTATACCTTCAAGAGTGGAATCTTTCAAACTGTTTCTATATTTTGACTTTATATATTTCATATCGGAGTATGCACGCTCGCAGATATATGTACTTAAGAACATTGATACAATTTGAAGTCCAAAATCTCTCAATTTTGGATATTTCTCTTTATCTAAAAATTTGAATATTTCTATTCCAGTTACTCTACGAGATGTAAAAAATGGGTCAGTCTGCAGGTCGCATAATTCAATTTGATCTTTAAGATCAACGGAGTTGATATCAATATTAATTGGATCACAAAATAAATCAATAGACGGTTTAAGATCATCAAATTGAGAAAATCTTTCACTGAAATCTGTAATTAGCATATCCAATTTTTGTAGAAATATTTTAAAATTCGCTTCTGTATCACATTCCTTCATTTCTTCATAGATCTCTTTGCAAGATTCAAAACGAAATTAATTATTTTGCTCCAAATTAAACCTTAACAATTTAAATTTGTTTCTAAATCCAGTAACATATTTATAAAGGCAACACACATTTTGATCCTGTCCTTGCAAGGACTTATTGAAAATATTTAAATAATTTCTAATGTCCGTTAGGAAAGCAAGTGAATAAATAAAATTTTTATCAACTAAATTTGCTGTCAAATTTTAATCGACGGCAATTTTTTGTGAAAAAAAGATAAACTTCTTTTTGAAGTGTAAAGGATCTCTTCAAACACTTTCCAGCACTTAACCAACGAACTTTACTTTGTGAAAGCAGATCTCCATACTCATTTTAAAATTCATCCAAAAATGTTTTAAATTTTCGGTGTGTAAGAGAACGATTTTCGCCGCGAATTAAATTAGTGATTTTGCAAACCTTGTCCATTACGTCTTTTAGTTGTAGGGATAAACCACATAATGCCTCCTGATGGATAATACAGTGTAACATACGACATGTTATTCCTTCTTTTTGCAAAAGTCCCGCGAGCCCAATATTTTTGCCCGTCATAGCTCTAGCACCATCGGTTACAATAGCAGTGCACTTGTCAAATCCGCCATACTGCTCTATTGAACATTTTAATTGTTTGTAAATATCTTCACCTTTTGTTGTTCCGTGCAATAATTGTAATTTTAAAAGTTGTTCTGAATAATACAGTTCTTATAAAGATAAGCATTTGACTTGTATCGGAAATGTCTGTGCTTTCATCCAATGCTACCGAAAAATAGCAGGAACTATTAATTAGGTTTTCTAATTTATTAGTGACATGCATGCTAATCTCGTTTACACATCGGCTTACAGTCTGGTGAGAAAGTGATACTGTTTGAAATTTTCTTACCATTTCGTTGTCATTAAATGCTTGAGCCATTTTTATGGCACGTTTTTTAATGAATTCTCCATCCAAAAATGTTTTCTTTGCCTTTACTATTTCTAAACAAACCTCAAACGGTGCAGCTACTTCTTGAAATTTTGGTTCTTGATTAAAATAAATCGTTTGATGATCCAGCTGCTCTTTCATTTTTTTCACTAGTGGTATTTTCATGTTTCGCGTGTACGAATGATACTTTTTTCATGCATGAAAAGATAATGGCGCTTCAAATTATATTCTTTACACACAACTATGATTTGTAAACCTTCCAAACACTGTGGTTTACCATTCTTGTTCAGAATAAATAATTAAATCTCCTAGCTATCTTGAAATTCTCGATTTTCGAGGTCTATTTTTCTTTTATTAATAGCACTCGTATTCAATAATTATTTTTATTAATAAATAAATAGGAAATTAAGTTAATATATTATAACACAGTCACCCCTCAACAAATCCTAGACAAGACTGCACTCGCACAATTGTGTGAATCAACCAAATACCGCAGGATAGTGTGCGCATCACGTGCGCCAACCATAGATAAACAACGACCAGCCACAAATATAATATGTGGCGCCAAAGTAGAGCCAACCATCATCAGACGTTAAACGGATTGCTGCTGTATTCAGCCAGGTTAAGTGAAGTTACGCAAACTAAATAGTACCTACTTTAAATTCAAATTAGATTTAATTTTTCACATAGTAAAATAATTTTAATATTAATAATAATAATTTAGTAACATAAATTTATTCATAGTAAAATGTACTCGCGCGCCGTAAAAATAATTTTGCGGTCTTTATACGGCCCGTGGTCCGTCAGTTGGACAGCCCTGACTCAGACCATTGTACCTAATTGCGAAAGTTGTTTAATTTTGTAGTCTAATTTCTAGCTGATTTACAGGGAAATTATTGCAGAATTTGTAGAATTAATGCTGATAAAAATGTAATGTAAAGAATTTTTTTTAAATGTCATTATACTCGTAAATTAATATTCTCGGAAGTATAGTTTTGAAGAAAAATGGGAAATTCGAAAATGTATGTTTTTCATGTAGAAATAAAACTTTCAAAATATAACTAAATTACTTTTCAACAGCTGCCTTTAATGGGAGAGGCATTTATGACACTATAATTCACTTCTTATTCTTAACGTCTAATATAAAACTATTCAAAACCACCTGAGCTATTGATTTTTCTTTCTTTTGTGTTTAAGATTAAACTACTGTAAGTTTCATGTTTTTACTTTAGTGGTGTTGAATGCATTTTTCAGCCTGAAATTTGGATTCTTTGTTCAACCTAATGGTCAAATGTCCATTGTTTCCAACATTGATTTACAAATTTTTTCCGAAGAGAGGGAAAATGACATAAAAGCAGTATTTCAAGTGGATGGTAAGTATTTTGTGTGTTACCTTTATTAAATATCATGTACTTTGAACTTAAACCATAAAATTTAATCCTACAACAAATATCGCCAAATAATTTTAAAATGAGCATATATTTAGATTTTCCGATACACAGTCTCGCGCAGTGGAGATAAAAATGTGTCCCATCCCGTATATAATAAAATAAAATAGTGTTGCCATTGCTCGCTTTTAAATCGTTGAGTTTGTTAATCAAAAATTCGTTAAAGATTTACAAAATATGAAATCGATAATAAAACAAACTCCAAATTTCAAATTTGGGCTTCCAGATGCCCATATTTTATGGAAGATTACGTTATTCAAATTTTGATGGCTCTAGGTACCGTTGTTTTATTATAATGCGAGAAATATACATACATTTATATTTCTCGCATTGTGAAATGCAGATTCTTCATTATTTAATTTCTTTAAATATAATAAAGAGCAATAATATTTGGTGGCAACAATTTGAAAAGTTAAACATTTTAAGTTTTCGATGCAAAATGCCAAAACGAAATTAATAGCCGTTCTAGACTAATAAATACTCTTATATTTCTCTAATCAATTATAAAAATTTTTACAGAACATTTTATTGAAAACTTAAATACTTTTTTACCGAGGTCGCACAACAGCGGGATCACATTAACCGTCAGCAAGCGCTATGGTATACTCAGTGACATGGTTCGGGATCGGTACACTAGAGCACATCAAGCTGGCTGGGTTTCCGGAGAAGATATAGTTGAGCTTTCATGTTTTCCACTCCGAAAATCCGGAAGTCTATATAGTGAAACCAAGTCAAAATATGGTGGATGGTAACTTAGTCTCACGGCCGGTTTGGTGGTGTTTTGAGTAATGTTATTTTTTCCCGGGCGAGCTGTTGTACTATAATGGTTGACACATTTAGTTAGTAACTAGAAGATCATCGGTCAATCCTCAGATAAGACAATAGTTGATTTGTCAAGTTTCTTGCACCAAAGACGGAGCAGTGAAGCGGAATTTAGAAATGATGATTCTCACATTTTCGGTTCTCAGATCAGAGAAGGGTCACTTTAAAAGTGACAAACTGTCAGTCATTTAGCGAAAGCAGAGTTCTTCACGAATAGGAAGTGATAGCCCCCCTCCCCCATTGCTGCAATGCTTTGACCTCTGCATCTAGAACTACATTCAGTTTCTGATTTCAATACTTTGCATTCATTTTCGTTTATTTCTTTAACTAATGTTATGTTGAAAATTTGGAAGGAAACGTGAAAACAGACCTATAAAATGTCTAAAAAACAATTCTATTTAGTGGTCATTAACATAGTTATCACTTTGTTTAAGATTTCAGTAAAATATTCAAGGGGATTATGTAAACAATAAATATTTAAACCCCGTATTGCGACAAAAAAAAATCCGCTAATAGCTCAAACCAGTCTTATTTGTAGCATCTTCTTTACAGATGAACAGTATAATTTAAAAGGACAAATCGTCAGCAGAAAATCCCACTTCGAGAGCAAGAAAGGTTGGGATGGATTTCTATCAATCAATATTCACAAGATAAATCGATGGACAGTGGTATCAAATCCAGTTTTGGTAGCTGAACCAAACAGAGCAAGTGGTGTTGTCATTAAAGGGTGAGTATTTGCTTGATATTCAAAGAAAGAAACGTAGTCTAGGGATTATTATTAATTGTTTGTCTAGTTTAAAACAAAAAAAGGATGAAAAAAGGATATATGTATCTTTTTTTCATGAGCTATTGTAAGAAACTGCAGCAAGCAATAACTGAAAATAAATATATTGATATTCACAAGTAAATAATAAATGAAATCTATAAAAGAACGAGTACTTGCAGAGTAAGATTCAATATACATCTGCTCATCTATCATTTTATAGTTTCTTTCCAATAAGTGATCTTTTTAGGGCTTGGGGTATAGAATGATGGAATTTCGGAAAGTTATAAAATTCTGTTGTGTAGCCGATTATGGGTACTTTCAGAATATTTATTTGATTTGCCTGTCTATCAGAGGCTCGGCTAAATTTTTTACCACTGTATATTTTCAAGCAAATAGATTCGTATATAAGTTTTCAAAAACATTAGCAGTTAAGGTTGCTAATAGCACTGAAATGGTTAGCATTAATTCATATTCATCCCCTCATGCAGTTTTGCAAGTAATATTAAATTATAAAGTTTCATAACTCACTACAAAGATTATTTCTAATTATAAAAGCCGTTGTTATTTTGAAAGATAAGTATGCACATACATGTATATATATATAGATTGATTCATTTTGTTTATCTTTTTTTACGTAGGACTGTACTACGACCGTCTAAAAGACGAAGTTTCACGAAGCAATCAGGAAAGGAAAAGATGTCGTTTGTTAAAGGTAGAAATATTGCATTTTTCTAAATACAAAATTTCACTATTTGAGTATTGAACATATTCTTAGCTTCAGAAAGTAAGTTTTATTTTCTTAGAATTTATTAATAAGCAATTTTTCATTATTTAAGTATTGCTATAACAAAAAAATTATTAATACAATTTAAGTATTATTATAATATTAGAAGCCTATTATAATCTTATCGAATTAAACAGAATGAAATAAAAATTTGAAAAAATAGTCACTATTTATAAGCTGTAGCTGTACCTTTCTTTATTCTAAACTTTTAATACAACTTTGTTGTCCTACAGCATTCTTTTCTTTATCCTTTGTGGTATGGCTGGTGGCAGGTAATAGATCTGACTCCGTATAATGATCAGTACTTTTGTAAGGGTGCGCAATACTTAGTACATTTCTGAACTTAAAAATATATTTATTACAATTACGAGAAGCTCTTTATATATATACGGACAGAGTAGAACAATTATGACGGTAAAGTATAGTCTCCGTGTCTTGAGGAACCTGCTAACTAGGGTCTCTCTAGTCGAGAATTCAAGAACATTCTGATGTCTTATTCCGATGGAAATAAACGAAAGACTGAATTAGATATGCTTAAATAATTTTCAGAAGTATTTTAAATCCACTGATTCGTTATATCTGGAACAATATCAAAGGAAAAACAAGATCATTGGTTCGTCAGCCCTCGTGAAATCGAGAGACTTTGGTGTTCCAGACACAGTGCTAGAACGCTAAAATATCTTGACACTAGTCATGAAGTTATGTCTCTTGAACAGTCAACTGGAAAGAATTATTGCGTCTGCGATTTCAGACTATGTCGTCTGGCACATCATAAAAGCTTGGAATATAAGCGACTTGCGGAGACCGTACACACGATTTTCTCATCTCTTTGCGGTCTAAAGCACCTTCATGTTTCTATTTCGTTTTTAAGAAGGATTCTATCGGCAGCGCGGTTGCATCGGCAACGTTTTCCTGCAGGCCCGTATCCTTCATACAAAACCATCCTATAGGTTGTGAAACGTTTAAATCGGCAGCGTGACTAGCCGACTTCGATCCGGCAGATCAGCTAAGGTAGGGCGGAAAGTGCAAACGGAAGATGTCTTATCATACGGCCTCACATATCCAAACAGCAGCAACAAGAGATAGAACTGAAAACTGTGACCTCTCAAAAAGTCGCTCTTGGAAAATCCTAAATAAATTAGGTGCTCATCCATACCGACCAACACCCAATCAGGAATTACTGGACGGGAATGCCGAGAGATGCTTTGTATGGTGTAACGTTTTCAGTAACCAGATAGAGGTCCAGCCAACAATCTTGGTAAGTATAGTGTGGACGGATGAGGCAAGCGTTTCGCGGAATGAAATATGAAATTATCAGAACACCCTTTACTGTGAATTGGAAACTCCATCATGTTCTGCCGACATTTGACATCGGTTTTCAATTAATGTTTGATATGAAATTTATTATAACAGGCTTATCGGCTGAATATTTTACCAGTGTACGTTAACCGCCGCACAATATTTAGAACTTCTGCAAGACATAATACCGGATATTTTAAGAACCTGTCGTTGTTTCAAATCCTGAATAGATGGGTCCAACATGACGTCGCAAGGAAAGCAGGAATTCGGAAAACGGATAATTGGGTACGGTGGTTTCGAAGAGTGATCTCCTCATTCAACTGACCTTACTCCAATGGACGTTTTATTGGCGGATACCTCAAATAATAGATGTATGTGACCCCTCCACAAACATTGCAGAGCCTTCAACGACGTATTACAAGTGCTTGTGCAAACGTGTCACACGCTATGCTACAGTGTGCGGCATGAAGTTCTAACAAGGGTCCAGATGTGCATCTCAGCTGATGAAGAGATATTTCTCATGTGTTAAACATCGAAAGTAAAGATAGTTTGTGATAACACCTAGGTAAGCAGTAACAAAGGCTGCTTATGCAAAGAGAAGGGATATTATAACCTTCTGTAATTCATTAGATATCTAGGTAAGGAGATCCAAGAATAGTTTTTTGCATTATTACCGCAAGTTAGATGTTTTCTCATACATGTGAAGCGGTTAGTTAGCTTAGGGTAAAGATTAGCAATGATATTAGGGCACTGCTGGCTGCATATCTATGACTGGCTTTTAAATATAGTATTAGATAATTAAATTATTTAACGTTGCTGTCATGTAGTGTAATAATGAATAATATTAAAAAAATAACACGTTTAAAATCCCCCTTTTTATATTTAAAATTCTAATTTCTCTTTTTTACATTTTTCTGCTTCCCCTAATTGCTAGGATAACCGATTAGTTAGTTTTGCGCCGTTTTTCAATTAAAAACATAGCTAAAAAAAGAAATTAAGTGATGTATAGTAATTGCAATAGTTATTTAAATATATTTAATTAAAAATTAACTAATTTCTTTGCCTATAGTTTTTTTAATCATTACGACATCTTATTCGATATGTTAAGATAATCAGCAATCGAGGTAAATATATTTTTACAATTTTAAAGGCAATGATAATCGTTATAACGACCTGCCGTAACAAACAAGAAGAGGACTTTAAAATCTGCGGCCATTATAAGCGTTAAAAAATCAGCTATATAAGTTAATATTGTAGGTTTTCTTAAAACATAAGCAAACCTAAGAAATTTTTTCTTAAATCTAATATATTACGTTTTTGCAATATTTTAATTGCTTTAGATGTTTTGCATACGCGCTGTAGCTTAGAAGAAATTAGCATTAGTTTCTTTACTTTGGGTAATATTCATAAATATTTAGCGAATTTTATTTAGTAATTAATTGACTGCATAGTTAATGTTAATTTGAAATCAAAGTTTGGTATTTTTAAATTAATGAAAAATCATAATGTCAAATGCTCTCATAATGAAATGCAAGTTCTATAAATGGAAAACTTTTTATTTCATTTTTATAAATCATCATCATAAATTTTCTTTATGTAAAAAAATTCCATTATGCGTTTTCCACTTTGGTATCACACACTGGTGAATGAATTGGAAACCCAATATCAATATTTATTTTTTTATTATTATTTATTTTGCACAGATAACTGCTGTAATTCGTTTGGTCATCGAGTCTACATACTTCTACGCCCAGAGAATACCATTCATTGGCTATGCAGCTTTTTATACCCTGTAAATTAGATGGAGGAGGAGAGTCTTTCCACAATGTCGATATTGTGGAAAATGTGGAAAGACGCAATATTAAATGTGGAAAGACGCAAAAATGTCTGGGATATTGCGTTTTTCCACAATATCTCAGACATTTTCTATGGGGTTATGATCCATGCTATGCTGTGGCAAGGAAAGATGTTGGAAGTCAGATTGATGTTCAGTGAACCAATTTTGAACAGTTCTGGACAGTTGTATAAGTGCATTATTCTCTCTGAAGTATCCGTCGCCATCAGGGAAAAAATGGAAGACTGCAGGGTGCACTTGATATGCCAGTATATCTAGGTATCTCAGGGCTGTTTGTTTACCTTCGAGGAACACAAGGCAACGCTTTCATGCCAGCAGAACATGTCCCATATCGTGATACTCCTACCAGACCCTTGCACAGCGCGAGGAAGGCAAGATAGATTCATGGCTTCATGGCATTTTCGCCAAACTCTACGTCTTCCATCAGTGGAAAATAAAGTGTAGCGCGACTGATCCGACCACATTACCCTTTTCCAATCCTCAGATGTTCAGTATCTTCTTTTCCGACACCACTGCAAACGAATTCTTGCATATAGGGCAGAAACGAGTGGTTTTTCTCACAGGCAACCAACTATGCATTCCTATCCTCTGCAATTCTTTGCGCGTCGTTCGAGCTGAAATCTGTTGGGAAATGCCTTAGTTGACGATCTGTGTCAGTTGAAGCACAGTAGAGCCCATGTCCTGCCGTGAAATTCTTCGGAGACGACTCCGATCACTCTCTTGGAAAACAGTGCTCAAAGCGCAGTTATGTCTTCCAGAGAAGGACTGTGGGTTCTGATTCCAACTTTTGAAACCCTATGGCTGCTTTTGAGAATCCAATGAGAGTTGCGGTCTTCGAAGTCGCAGCCCCTGTTAAACGGGCAGCAACAATAAGCCCCTTTTCAAATGGTGATAAAGCTGTCGTTTTTCTCATTTTACTTCATTCATTGTGAAAAACACTCTTAAACCTTGCTTATACTAGCGTTATAGCCAAGCGTAAACCACGTCATAAAAAAATCGCATATTTCATCCTTAGCACGCATTCAAATGAAAATCTCAAATGTTTCTAATTCATTGGTCAGTGTGTGTATAAGCGCGTGCTTATAGTTCTTAATCATTAATTCAACTTCAATAAAAATCATCATTAGTGACAAAATTCTGTCTTTTTAGGTGCACATATTAGGACAGAGGAATACTCTACTTCTTCGCTTAAAAATTTGGTGCTTACATGTGCCACCATTTTCCCATAACATACATACATTCATAACACAGATTCTTCATTATTTAGTAACAAAAATTGTTATCATTTTAAAGAGAGTACCTGTTGTTTTTCGAAAACAGCTATTTTTCTGATATAAGCTAACGGAATACGGAAAATTGTTAAAAAGGATTATACAAGAACGCTTTAGATATTTAGCAGATATTTAAAACTTCGTTGTCTTTTAAATCGATACGTATATCAATCTTTAAAGTAATTCAGAGACAGTATAATAATTGAATTAATTTATTCAAATGCCTGCGTTGAATTATTTTTGAATAATTGCAAATCTTTTTTAATTTTAATAATAATTATTCATTGCATAAATGTGAAATGAAATCTAAAATGAAGAATCTAAATAATAATACATATACTCTGCACACACTCACCATGAAGGGAAGCAGTTCTATATCTCCCATTCTATTGGGACGACTGATTTAATTTGCGTTTTTCATGCCTCGAAAACGCGAATTATATTACATTTACATATATAGCATTGTTCTACACATAGGTACTTTGACACAATATTAAGACTTTTTCTGAAATGACATACCAGTTTTTTTCCATTTTTGGATTTTACGCCTCAAGTTATGCCATAGTGCCAAATTTTGTAAAAGTCGCTAGAATAGTTTTAAGAAATTAGCTCTCAAAATTTTAACTCCTCAATGTTAATTAAATTTAGTACATAATTTTTAATATATCTTTCTTTATTAAACTCATTTAATTCATTCTTTCACAGTTCGAAATTTATCTCATTCCAAATAAAATTCGCTGATATTTTCTGATTTATTTTTTTTAAGTTGTATTTTTTAGTAATTTTTATAAATTTTGGAAAAACGTTTTGAATTATAACCGATAAAATTTTACAATCATCTTAAAGTAGATGTATTCCCATGTATATCGGCAAAACAAGAGTTTTTTGTTCAAAATTTTTCTAAGATATGCGAGAATTTACATATTATCTCATTTTTAAATTTAACTTCTTTGTTTAATGCAATAATAACGCCAAATGTGGTTTACGGATATAAAAATAATAATTATGATCTACGGGTATTTATGGTTTACGGATATAAAAATAATAAAATGTAACATAAAGAAAGTTATTTGAAAGAATGAACGACGTACTTTTTTTCGCTCGTGTAGAATGAAAGGGAAAGGGAAGTAGGTTACCATAAATTAAAAATTTCGCCAAGGCATCCCTCCTCTTGGCACAAACTAAGCAAAGTGCGCCAAGATCAATTTTTGAATTTTTCGGTAATGTTCTCACCAAATTTTACAAAATTTGATATTTAGGCATAATTTGAATCGAAGAATCGGAATACGGAAAGAACTCCGTATGTCATTTCAGAAAACGTTCGATTTTGTATCAAAAATTCTTTCTCTTTGTATATCTAATACATATCGTAAGTTAGCTTTCAAGATATGAAAAACGCAAGTTAAATTTGTGATATATATATATCTATATATTGCGTCTGTGTGTGTTTGTGCAGATTTTAATGCTTATGATTAGTAAGGCACATATTATTTCGCAGTTGTACCTCCAGTTGTACATTTTTCCGATGAAATATGTCAGGAACCAGATGTCAGTGGAGGTAAAGGTTCTTCCTTAGGAAAGCTTACTCAATTAAGCAAAGATCTTCAGAATGTAAGTAAGAGAAAACTTTTCAAAAAACATATACTAATTTTTTTCATTCGTTATAGATTTTTGAAGCTTATATATTTAAAATGCAATGAGAAATGTTTTGTAAGTGCTGTGTAACATAATGCTTTTTAAGTGCTCAGTCTATTACAATGCATACATTGTATTAGATTAAGAATCCGAACACTGTAAGAAAATCTTTATTGTTACTGTTAAAATCTTATTAAACATATAATCCAGAGCAAAACGGCTTTGTAATTGAGGAAAGAAATTATGCTTTTAAAGTGGGAAAGAATGGCATATTAAGCGAAAATCGGTAGGATTGAGCACAAGGTATTGGACGTTAATTGAACGAGATTTGATTTTCACAAAAGCGCTCTCGGTAATTCAACGTTGTTTTCTTCAGTTAGCATTAAATGGTCACAACCTACTACAAGGCACAACCTACTTCGCTTCTTTTTGTTATCCTTCCTCCAGTATAGACTGCTTGTGATAACTACTAGTGAGTTCTCGAAAATTCATTGATTTCCATTTCTGTATGCACTCTCAGACATTCAGTGCTACCGCCTTCTTCTGCTGTAACCAAATGAAATGCAAGTACCAAAAACAGATAGAGAAATTACAGATTTTCGAAAGCAATGCATTCACCCTAACAGTAACAACGACAACATTTCTGACAAAATTTAAGATATTCATTTGTGAATAAAAGTGAAATTTTCTTCAAATATGAATTCGATATTCTTTAAAGCCTCACTCATTTCTAATATCTTTAACGTTAGGAAACTTAAGCTGATCTTGAAGAAGGTGAGAAACTTGAAGAAGATTTGACGAAATTTCTTTTATTTGCTTTTTGTTTAAATTGTTGTTCTTGTCATGCCTGATCTCACTAGTCTGATCTTATCGAACATGCCACGAAATTCATCGTGGCAAGTAGCACAAGATTACGCCTGTCGTTGGCAAAAGCCTTGAACTCCATAGAGGCGATAGTACGATTTTCCCTAGTTTCACCCCAGTTTTGAGGGACAGCTTCTCGGAGGATTGGATCCAACAGTCTCCCACCCCGCTTTCCCTACCACCAAATCACACAAGAGGACGTTCGCCTCGCCATATATTTTGAGTGCTTCCATGCCGTAAGGACACTATGCGTTTCTAAACATCTGTGCCTTCTTAGGGATTCGAACCAGCCCCTTCGGTATGGCAATCAAAGTCACTAGCCATTATCCCGTTTGGGCGGCACCTCTGTTGAAACTGAATGAAATAGCGAAAGATGTAAAGCAAGTGATAAAATAAATAAAGCAACTAATAGAGCAAGAAATAAAATAAAAAGAGAATGTAATAGAACAAGAAATAAAATAAAAAGAGAATGTAATAGAACAAGAAATAAATTAATACTAGATAATTTAGGATATTTAGTTGTAGTTGAAGAAAGCGGTACAGTTGAATTGCAAGCCTTATCCCAAAATAAAATTTGCAATTATACTTTTCTTTTACTTAATATCATCAGTGTTTATTTTTTTCATATATACAGATACTAACCCAACTAAGGACTTTGATACAGAGTGTTTTTTTAAAACAACCATACAGAAGAAGCCGTACAGAAGAAATTAATTAATACTAGATAATTTAGGATATTTAGTTGTAGTTGAAGAAAGCGGTACAGTAGAATTGCAAGCCTTCTCCCAAAATAAAATTTGCGATTAATATTTTTTCTTTTACTTAATATCATCAGCGTTTATTTTTTTCATATATACAGATACTAACCCAACTAAGGACTTTGATACAGAGTGTTTTTTTAAAACAACCATACAGAAGAAGCCGTACAGAAGAAATTAATTAATACTAGATAATTTAGGATATTTAGTTGTAGTTGAAGAAAAAGCGGTACAGTAAATTGCAAACCTTCTCCCAAAATAAATTTGCAATTAATACTTTTTCTTTTACTTAATATCATCAGCGTTTATTTTTTTCATATATACAGATACTAACCCAACTAAGGACTTAGATACAGAGTGTTTTTTTAAAACAACCATACAGAAGAAGCCATACAGAAGAAATTAATTAATACTAGATAATTTAGGATATTTAGTTGTAGTTGAAGAAAGCGGTACAGTTGAATTGCAAGCCTTTTCCCAAAATAAAATTTGCAATTAATATTTTTTCTTTTACTTAATATCATCAGCGTTTATTTTTTCATATATACAGATACTAACCCAACTAAGGACTTTGATACAGAGTGTTTTTTTAAAACAACCATACAGAAGAAGCCGTACAGAAGAAATTAATTAATACTAGATAATTTAGGATATTTAGTTGTAGTTGAAGAAAGCGGACAGTAGAATTGCAAGCCTTCTCCCAAAATAAAATTTGCAATTAATACTTTTTCTTTTACTTAATATCATCAGCGTTTATTTTTTTCATATATACAGATACTAACCCAACTAAGGACTTAGATACAGAGTGTTTTTTTAAAACAACCATACAGAAGAAGCCATACAGAAGAAATTAATTAATACTAGATAACTTAGGATATTTAGTTGTAGTTGAAGAAAGCGGTACAGTAGAATTGCAAGCCTTCGCCCAAAATAAAATTTGCAATTAATACTTTTTCTTTTACTTAATATCATCAGCGTTTATTTTTTTCATATATACAGATACTAACCCAACTAAGGACTTTGATACAGAGGCTTTTTTAAAACAACCATACAGAAGAAGCCGTACAAAGAAATTAATTAATACTAGATATTTAGGATATTTAGTTGTAGTTGAAGAAAGCGGTAAATAGAATTGCAAGCCTTCTCCCAAAATAAATTTGCGATTTATTTATTTTTCATATTTTTTTCTTTTACTTAATATCATCAGCGTTTTATTTTTTTCATATATACAGATACTAACCCAACTAAGGACTTTGATACAGAGTGTTTTTTTAAACAACCATATAGAAGAAGCCATACAGAAGAAATTAATTAATACTAGATAATTTAGGATATTTAGTTGTAGTTGAAGAAAGCGGTACAGTAGAATTGCAAGCCTTCTCCCAAAATAAAATTTGCAATTAATACTTTTTCTTTTACTTAATATCATCAGCGTTTATTTTTTTCAATATATACAGATACTAACCCACTAAGGACTTAGATACAGAGTGTTTTTTTTAAAACAACCATACAGAAGAAGCCCATACAGAAGAAATTAATTAATACTAGATAATTTAGGATATTTAGTTGTAGTTGAAGAAAGCGGTACAGTTGAATTGCAAGCGTTTTTCCCAAAAAAATTTGCAATTAATATTTTTCTTTTACTTAATATCATCAGCGTTTATTTTTTTCATATATACAGATACTAACCCAACTAAGGACTTTGATACAGAGTGTTTTTTAAAACAACCATACAGAAGAAGCCGTACAGAAGAAGTATTAATACTAGATAATTTAGGATATTTAGTTGTAGTTGAAGAAAGCGGTACAGTAGAATTGCAAGCCTTCTCCCAAAATAAAATTTGCGATTAATATTTTTTCTTTTACTTAATATCATCAGCGTTTATTTTTTTCATATATACAGATACTAACCCAACTAAGGACTTTGATACAGAGTGTTTTTTTAAAACAACCATACAGAAGAAGCCGTACAGAAGAAATTAATTAATACTAGATAATTTAGGATATTTAGTTGTAGTTGAAGAAAGCGGTACAGTAGAATTGCAAGCCTTCTCCCAAAATAAAATTTGCAATTAATATTTTTTCTTTTACTTAATATCATCAGCGTTTATTTTTTTCATATATACAGATACTAACCCAACTAAGGACTTTGATACAGAGTGTTTTTTTAAAACAACCATACAGAAGAAGCCGTACAGAAGAAATTAATTAATACTAGATAATTTAGGATATTTAGTTGTAGTTGAAGAAAGCGGTACAGTAGAATTGCAAGCCATCTCCCAAAATAAAATTTGCGATTAATACTTTTTCTTTTACTTAATATCATCAGCGTTTATTTTTTTCATATATACAGATACTAACCCAAATAAGGACTTAGATACAGAGTGTTTTTTTAAAACAACCATATAGAAGAAGCCATACAGAAGAAATTAATTAATATTAGATAATTTAGGATATTTAGTTGTAGTTGAAGAAAGCGGTACAGTTGAATTGCAAGCCTTTTCCCAAAATAAAATTTGCAATTAATATTTTTTCTTTTACTTAATATCATCAGCGTTTATTTTTTTTCATATATACAGATACTAACCCAACTAAGGACTTTGATACAGAGTGTTTTTTTAAAACAACCATACAGAAGAAGCCGAACAGAAGAATAATTAATTAATACTAGATAATTTAGGATATTTAGTTGTAGTTTGAAGAAAAAGCGGTACAGTAGAATTGGCAAGCCTTCTCCCAAATAAAATTTGCAATTAATACTTTTTCTTTTACTTAATATCATCAGCGTTTTTTTTTCATATATACAGATACTAACCCAACTAAGGACTTAGATACAGAGGGTTTTTTAAAACAACCATACAGAAGAAGCCATACAGAAGAAAAGAAATTAATTAATACTAGATAACTTAGGATATTTAGTTGTAGTTGAAGAAAGCGGTACAGTAGAATTGCAAGCCTTCGCCCAAAATAAAATTTGCATTAATACTTTTTTTCTTTTACTTAATATCATCAGCGTTTATTTTTTTCATATATACAGATACTAACCCAACTAAGGACTTTGATACAGAGTGCTTTTTAAAACAACCATACAGAAGAAGCCGTACAGAAGAAATTAATTAATACTAGATAATTTAGGATATTTAGTTGTAGTTGAAGAAAGCGGTAAAGTAGAATTGCAAGCCTTCTCCCAAAATAAAATTTGCGATTAATATTTTTTCTTTTACTTAATATCATCAGCGTTTATTTTTTTCATATATACAGATACTAACCCAACTAAGGACTTTGATACAGAGTGTTTTTTTAAAACAACCATATAGAAGAAGCCATACAGAAGAAATTAATTAATACTAGATA